TCTCCAAATTACTTTCTGGAGACTACAAGTTTACTGGCTACTGCTGATTGTTTTCTGTTTGATTTTTTTTCTTTCTTTCTTTCCTAAAATGGCATTGTGGAAACCCAAAGAGTGGTGGCGGAGAGGAGGGCAATTCATTCTTCTGCCTAGAGTCTACTCCCCAGGTTGCAAGAGAGAGTTGGAGAGGGGAACCCTGTCTTTCCAGGTCATGAGCTGGTGAAAATTATGATGGTGTCTGAACGTTTTGGGATCATTGGCCACACCAGGATTTGAACCTCAGCCTTGAGACCAAGGGAGCCCCCAGCATGTCGGGAGCCCAGCATCTTTGGGTGGGAAGGGATGGAGGAGTGTTTCTGGCCTGAGACATCACTAGACACATGTGCTGGGTGTGGTGTATGCTTCCAGAGATATTGCTTGGAGAGGAACTAAGCAGAGGAGGATGCCCGAAGCTCTGGTCTTGAAACCCAACTTCTAGGTCTGAGCCCCATCTGCACACCTTACTTGCTGTACGACCTTGAGAGATTTACCTTCTCTCTCTGGGTCTCAGTTCCCCATTTGTAAATTTGGACTTGGGATTTGAGCTGGCGTTTCAAACTAGTGGCACTGAGATTTAGCCTGCAGCAGTTGTTTTGTTTGGCCTGAATTGTTCTTTTAAACCAGGAAATATCATATTTTTTAAAAATCCAAATTAAAATACAAAGACTTATTAAAAAAAGGTTCATGTTCCCCCGTGGCAAAAAATGGCTAGACCTAGACATCGACAAGCTGATATTAAATTCATCTGGGTCAAGAGACCCAAAAGAGCCAAAGCAATCTTGAAGGAGAACAAAGTCACAGGACACACACTTCCTGATTTCAAAAGTTACTACAAAACTATAGTAATTAAAACAATGTGGTAGTGGCACAAGGATAGACATATAGATCAATGGGATAGAACTGAGAGTCCACAAATAAGCCCTCATGTTCATAGTCAAGAGTGCCATTTTCAACTAGGGTGCCAAGATAATAAGATGGGGAAAGGGTAGTCTTTTCAACAAATGGTGATGGAACAACTGGATATCCACAAGCAAAAGAATGAATTTGGACCCCTACCTCATACGACATATAAAACTTAAGTCAAAATAGATCAGTGACCAAATCTAAGAGCTAAAACTATAGAAGTCTTAGAAGAAAAGGTAGGTATGGACCTTCATGACCTTGGATTTGGCAATGGTTCCTTAGATACGACACCAAAGGCATAAGTGACCACGCCCCCCACAATTAGATAAATTGTATTTCATGAAAATTAAAACTTGTGCTGCAATGATACCATCAAGAATGTGAAAAGACAACTCACAAAATGGGAAAGATACTTGCGGATCATGATGAGGGACTTGTAATCAGAGTATATAAACAAGTCTTACAACCCAATAATAAGATAACTCAATTTCAAATGGGCAAAAAAATCTTAATGGACATTTCTTTAAAGAAGGTATATAAGCAGCCAATAAACACATGAAGATGTTCAACGTTTTTAGTCATTAGGGAAATGCAAATCAAAATCCTAATGAGATACTACTTCATATCAACTAGGATGGTGATAATCAAAAAGACAAAATAACAAGTGTTGAGGATGTGGAGAAATAGGAACTCTTCTTCATTGCTGGTGGAATGTAAAACAGGCAGCCACCTTGGAATGTAATATGTCTCCACACCCATGTTTATGCTCTTCCCCTCCCCTTCCCTGGAGTGTTTTACTTCCCCATACTCCCTAGTGAGACACTTGTGTCCACAGACTCAGCAGTTGGGCTTATGGGTTCCACTGCACCCTTATGGGTTTAGAGTCAGTGTGTGTGTGTGTGTGTGTGTGTGTGTGTGTGTGTGTGTGAGAGAGAGAGAGAGAGAGAGAGAGAGATCTGGAACAAATGAGAGGGGAGGCATTGGGCCGGAGGAATGATCTCTGATTTAGGAGCTAAGAAAGTCTCCCAAACTTCCTCTAGACCACAAACCCAAATGCCTAAACAGGCCAGGCAGGTTTTGGTCATTAGCGAAGCAGGGGGGTTTGATGGGCAACAGCGAGTAGTGGAGTCTATGGCAAACTAGGGAGCATAGGCTCTGTCTAAATGGGAAGCTGCTATTATTTCCTCCCTGTTGATGTGTTGTGAGGAAGTGCCAGGAAGGTTTGATCTTTTAAGTTTTCAGGAGGAACTGGAAATCCATATTTGTCTATAAAATGTACTGATCTTAAAAAGCATTGCACGGGACAAATAGAGTTGTGTGATGCTTTTAAAATTTTCAGGTATTGGTCTAGACTACTGGAGGCCTCGTCTCTAGGTGAGGCCACCGGGCATTGGAGGGTCTGAGAACCGGCCTGAACCCAAAGATACCAGCCTGCCACTCCGGGCATCACCTGAGCTTCCCTCCTGGACCCTCCTTGCTGAGGAATAGCAATGACCGGAAGGATGGTAGGCAAGAGGGAAGCCAAGAGAAGGTTCCAGATGATGTGGGTTTTTGAGAAAGAGAGAGAGAGAGAAAGAGAAGGGGGGGAGGATATTGAAACGGAATGGAATGATGTGAAATAGATCTATGTGTGGTGGAAAGAGCACCAGCTGGGTTAGGGGTCAAGGGCCCTGTGCCCTCCAATTGGTTAAACTCCAGGTGTTGGGACACAGAGGTAGGTAAGCCATACTTCCTGTCCTATGGTAGGCCTAGTCTCTTATGGTAGAATTGGATGGAAACCAATCCTTATCTTATATGCCTGTGTAGTATCCTGGTTGTTGCACCATATTCAAGGGCTGCCTACCAAGGAGGGAGCCACCTATGCTGCCTAGGGCCCGGACGGAGACAGCTCACCATGGAGAAAGGAGGGGACGTTTGAGCTGGGTATAGAAGAATCAGTAGGATCCTGTCATCTAGATAAAGACAAGTAGGAGGAGTATTTTAGGCCTGAAGCTATCAAGGCATGTGAAGGCAGGGTCTTCTGGAGTAGTAGTGGGCTTTGTCCGGAGCCGTTGTATTGTGTGGGGTGGAGATATGTATGAAGAGAATCATGGTGGGAGATGAGACCAGAAAGGAAATTGGATCAGATCATAAATGACCTCAGTACTGGGTAAAGGGCTTACCAGTGAAATCATAGGGGTCGGGAGGAGCCATGGCAGGTTTTGAAGTCAGAAAGAGCCATGATATATTCATTCATTCATTCATCAAATATATTTTGAGCACTGAGGACTCAGAGGTGAGCAAAGCATACCAACTCCTGCCTTCATGGAGTTTTTCGTCTGGGGCAGGGGGAGACGAAAATTAATACAAGAATCACCCAAACTCGTTCATCACTTAAGACTATAATAAGAGCAGTGAAGAAAGAGGCGAGGATGCTGTATCTAAGAGCTGGGAGTGAGGAGGGAGGGGGAGCAGAGGAGGCTGGAAACCCAGGCTGGAAACCCAGGCTGGGTAGACTCAGCCTTGCATACGGGTTTAGATTTTCTTCCAGGTGCCCAATGCCTTTGTACTGCTTTACCCAGGGCAGGACTCAGCTACGACCTTGCTGGGAATGCTGGGCATGCCTCCCACCCCCCAGCCCCCAACCTCCCCCTCCGGCCTCTGAGTCTTGGATTTCGCAACTGTACAATGAACAGGCCACCTCCAAGGCCCCATACAATCTCTTTAATTTTCTCCCTCCCCACTGCTGGCCCCCAGCTCGTTGTCTTAGCAGACGCAGCAGAGTCAATGTCGGTTTCACACGCTGGCTTCTCCCCCTTGTCTCCCTGCCTTCTACTTTGGAAGCTCCCTCTGGCCTCCCGGCTGCCTCTACCCTTTATCGGCTCAGCCTGGAGGGTGGGAGGGTGACACGGAGGTGTCCTCCTGACTGCTGAGGCACAGATCCTGCTGAGGAATGCTCCCCCCACCCCGAGGGCTGAGGAGAGCTTATGTGTTCAGGGGCCCCGGGGAGGCTGGGGCCTGGCTGTGGGCCTGGACACTTGTCTAGAATTGAACCTGACAGGATGTGGGCCACCTGGCGGGGTGGCCAGAAAACTGGCCTGGAGCCAGGGTCCTGGGTTCTAGCTTTGGTCTCACCTTTGATTCACTGTGTGCCCTGGGTAGTCATGGCCCCCTCGGCCTCAGTTTCCTCAACTGGTAAGATGAAATCGTTGTTCCAGAGAAGTAGTTTTTATTAATAATCTGGATCTCCCTTTTCTTCGAGGAGAATCTTATGTCCTATCCTGATGCATTGATATAAACCAGATGGAAGCAAAGTCACTCAGCTTTTTGTGAAGGCTGAGGGTCTGGGGCCCTGCCCACACAACTGGTCTGACCCCAGGGAGCCCTGGGGTAGACGACCCGGACCGTGTGGTCTCCAGACATGTTGTAATGATGGAGCTGAAGGAGACGCCTGCAACCTTTTCAGGGCTGAAAGTGCTGGGGCTCCGTACCCCGACTGGATGGGTGAGGCCGGGGAGGTCCAGGAGGAGAATAACCCACTGCTGCCCCTGGCCCTCTGCACTTGGTCTGGGGCACACAGTCTGGAGGGGCGTCTGGGAGTCAAGAGAAGGCTCTCTCCACCCACGTGTCTCCCTGGCTCTGCAGGGAATGTTCCGGTTTGTTTGGGCCCGGTCCTGCTTACTTGCTCCCTGGGGCCTCCTTTTCCAGAGGCACCAAGCTTCCTTCTCCCCACCCCCACCCGGCTTGATGGAATGCAGAGGGGAGAATAGCCCAGGCTGAGGCAATGTCTTGAATTATTTTGCAAACACGTTGGGTTCAGCAAAGCCCCACATACATCTTGTCCCCAGCACCCTCTCCCTGGATGTGTGAGCCCATATGTTCCTGGGCAAATGTGCTCCGTCTGCTCGGGCTGCATTTGCAATTAGCTCATCAGGATGCTGTTCTCTAATAGCTCTTTGATGTCCAACGAGCCTCCTAAGCCTGTGTGTTTCCTTTCCTTTGAAGCAGGACATCGTGTTTTGCCAGAAGTCAATGAAACGCCACAGTAGAACAGAACGGTTTAATTCCCTCCTCAGATACAGGGCTGAGGGAGTTCAAACGGACTTCCGCCCACGCCTGCTCCCCGCATCGGCCTGTCAGATGCCCACCTCAGAGGCCTGGTGGAGGCCGCGACCCCTGGAGGCTGGACCTTCCGAGGAGGCTCTGACCACCTTCACCAGGTAATAGCCCAAAACACCTGGCAGCCTTGGCCCACCCTTGAGCCTTGGGGCTCCTTCCCTGACTGCACGTCGATTTGCCCATGACCCTGACTCCTTGGTTGGCTCTCACCTTGATTGGCTATTTCCTCTGATATGGACCAGGCATGGGGCTCTGGCCTGGCCGGTGTTCGCCTCTCAGGCTCTGGTGCCCTCTGCACTCCGGTTGGGCTACTTTTGACTTCAGAACTCCTGTCTCAGCCCTGACAGCTTTTGGTGACCTCACGTATTAAGTGTCTAAGGGAACATGCCCCCAGGGCCGGCTGGGGCCTCAGAGTCAGGCCTGACCCCAAGCGGCCTGGTCTTCCCGTGCTGGTTCTCGTCCGGGTGTGAGCACCTGTGTCTCACATGCTGAGTCCATCTGCTGCTGCGGGAACTTCAGAGTCCTGCAAACTTCCCTTCCTTGGTGTTTTGGGAGTTGCTAAGGGTGCAGTTCCTTCCTGCATTTTTTGACGCAACCATCACTGCTGCTCACTAGGCCTGCTAACCGAGCCTTCACTGGGGACCTCCAGCCATACCAGTGCCTGCTGGACTGGGCCGGACCAGTTCTCCTGGCAGAGTGCTGCTTCCTCGTAGCTGGACATGCCCAAACCCGATGCTGGGAGCTGTCCTGGGACCCCCAGAAGACATCCCGGTCCCCCTTATTATCTGCTGCCTGGTTCAGAGCTGGGAGGTTTGGACACAGACCCCTGCACGTTCCTTGTGAAATTAGAAGAAGCATATTCCCTGCCTGGGCGTCATATGGGCTGAGGGGTAGAGAGTTCCACGCAAGGGATTTGAATCCCAGTGAGTTATTCATTCATTGATTAATTCACTCACCAAAACTTGGTTGAGCTCCTATTAGGTGCCTCACCCCGTCTGCCCTCATGGAGCTTATACTCTAGTGGTGGGTACACCCCATTGCACAAATACACAGGAGGTGTTTATTACTGGGCAGGAGAGAGCAAAGCTAGGATGAAAATATGACCGGGAGCGACCAGAGGCCAGTGTAGGTAGCGTGGTCAAGAACTTCTTTGAGGAAGTGACATTTAAATTGAGACTTAGATGACGAATAAGAGCCAGCCATGCAAAGCTCCAGAGGGAGAGCGTTTCCAGAGGAGGAAGGAGCGGTGCAGAGGCCGGGGCCGAGGATAAGTCTGGTAGGTTCAGGATCAGAATAGGGCTGGTGTGGCTGAAGCATGGTGAGTGAGAGGGGCAAACAAGATGGGAGATGGTGTGGAGAACTTGGGGGCTGCCAATCACAGACTAGGATGAGAGGTCAGATTTGATTCCAGTGGGAAGGAAAATCCTAGGAGGGCTTGATGACCAGAGAGACTGGGTCAGATACAACCAGGGCATTATCATTTCACTTCTTGAAGTCTCAGTTTTCTCATCTGTAAAATGGGCATAATAATATCTCCTCCATAGGGTGGAATAATGAATGAGGAGAGAGTAGAAGAATAAAACTAGATCATGAATTATGTGCTGAGATGAATTGTAACAACTGAAGGTAACTCTTCTTTTTCAGTTTCCAGGAAACCAGGATGAAATCAGAACAGGTTACTTAGTGGTAGGAATCACCCAGCTCAACAGGGGAGACCATTTCTAGCCCTAAGTTTAGAAAGGCATTTGCCCCTGAAGGCTTAGATGCCCTATCCCTTATTTTCTACATCATTCCTACGCTCCTGAGACATCCTGATCATCTTTGGCCACTGGTTGGTTTAGGACGGACCTGGGGAGATGGAAATAGGACCCAGGCTACTCCTGGCTTAGCCGTAAACTGCAGACTCACCTATAGATTTGGAATAGCTGCCAGTGAGCTACTGCCCTCAGCTTTCTCTCCCATGGTCTGTGCCCTGGTCAGGGGCTGGTAAGAGGGCCTGGGAACTATCCAGAGCGTCTGGACTGAACCTGGCTCCAGGCGCTGGTGTTTACTTCCTCCGGGTTTTCTTATTTGAAACCCACGACTTGTAAATAATCTATGGGTTGTTGGTAAAGATGGAGCAACTTATGATGGTGCAGAGTCGCCGTTGGATGGTAGTCTGACTCCTGCCATGGTTTACCCTTTATGAGCTGTATGACTGGGGAAGATCACGTTGACCTCCTGGGCTACAGTGTCCCAGTCTGTCACACAGGATCGGGATCTCTTTCGGGAGGGCTGTCGTGAAGTCACAGCTAATGCCCCATCAGGCCTGGCCATGACAGAGCTCTACACCCCATTCTTTTTATTCACGAATGTAGCTGCAGTTGCAGAACCACAGCCAAATTGTGAATTAGTGATACACAGCCTTGTTGGTTCCAAGGATAATCAACTGTTGAATAAGTCTAGATCTTGGCCGGCCAGGTGATGTTTGAGGTAACTGGCAAACGGCTTGAAAAAATGAATGGCTTTAAGGCAACTCCAGACAGCCTTCCCAGGTCCTCCCAGCAGAAGCAGAGGCGGTGGAAGCCCATCCCTATATCTGTGGCTGGGAACCGGGCAGGGAGCCCAGGGGGCAGACACGTGGTTGACTCCTCTCCAGGCCACTTACAGCTGAGGGCACGGGGCCCAGCACAAGTAGATGCTCAACATTCAAACACGAGTCTGTTTACTGCTAGATTCCAATGGTTTTAAGCAAGGCGTGGCTGGGCCTTTAAAAATAAACAAATCAAACGTGCCAATATGCTTTGACAATCTCCTCATTCATGCCTTTTGCTTGGTCCTCTTCTACTGGACCCACTGCTTAGATACTGTCCTTTATTTGCACCCCCAACACATTCACAGACACTCATACACGTTCTCGCACCCTCACTCACACGCACCCACACACACCCCGCAAGGGTACTCAGAGAACAGCGCTGCAGAGGGACTCAGGGCTCCGTTCGAGCACCTGGAGTTTGATCCTGGTTCTAGCAAGCCATTGCTATGGGACCCTGGGCAAGTAGCTTAACCCCTTTGAGCCCCGTCTGCAAAATGAAGAGAAAAATAACATGTGTAACTCCTGTTGCCAAGAAAGGCATGTAAAGCGGTCGCGTGGCACCTGGCAGGTAGGAAGCCCTCAGTCAACGCTAGCTATTCATCCTGCAGTGTCCCCACGTGCACTTACACACCAGCACTCGAGATAAAGCACATCGAAACACGCAGCGAAGAATCGGGGCTTTTCGCCTCTGTGAGCCACTGGGCCAGGAGACAGCCAGGGTCTGGGCCCGGTTGTGGGCGGAGGGTGCTGGGCCTCGCTCTTGGTCTCGGGTCGGGGTATGGCCTGCTGGGGCCGTGCTGGGCAGGGAGTAGCAAAGGTTTCTATCTGGGAAGAAACGGATGGGAGCCAACAATGGCCTCTCATCCTCTTGTCAGAAGGCTGTGGAATTAAAGCCAGCTGGCTTTTGTCTCTATCAAGTGGTCTTTTATATGGAGAGATAACAAAGGACAATTAATATAGCAACTGGAGCAACCTTTGATGCCCTGGTAATTTCTCTGCCTTACAATTATCGAACAATCAGGGTTTTCCAGGCTCCCAATTAAATCACAGTCGGAAACAGAGACTGGCAGAAAGTGGACATTGCAGCTAGAGGCCACACTGACCCAAGGAAGGACAGCGATCTGGGACTCCAAGGGAATGCCCGGGGTGGGCGTGGTGGCAGAAAGAAGGGTCTGGGTTGAAAAATGAGCCTCCCACCTGGGTGGCAGCTGGACCAGCCTGGGAGAAGAGCAGATGCCATTGCTGATGGAAGGCCTGGGAGGGAGCATCTGGCCCCCGACGCTGGCACACACCTCGGAAAAGCAGGCTCTTGGCACGCCTGCTTGCCCAGGCTGGCACACCCTGGGATCAGGAGCCGGCCCTGTGCTCCATCTGGGGGAATTGGCATTAGCAGAGGCTGGTCCTCTAACTCACAGAGGGGTCGCCTCTGTGCTCACGCAGGCACCAGCCTATTGCACCTCTGAGCTTCCTCCAAGGGCAAAGCACTCGATGATTCAGGTTTAAGTAGCATCAGAGAGAAAGGTCGGTTCTCCCCGAGAAGGCCAGTTCCCTGCCTGGAGCACCCATCGTGATGGGCCCTCCCCAGCTGCTCTGCATCAGGACAGCTGTTCAGGCTGCTCGCAGCTAGGTGCACCTGCCCTGGCTTCAGTCCCCCATTTTGGAAACTGGTCCTCAAAGTTCTCCTCTTCCTTATTCATTGTTAATGTAACCTCTACTGATTCAGCCCCTCTGGGGCGCCGGGCTAGGAACACCACTCACGTTCCCTTATGTGAGCCCTACAACCACCCTTATGAAGTACTTGCTATTGTGTCTGCCTTACGGAAGAGAGAATAGTTTTCCCTGAGGGTACATTACTTACCTACAGCTCTGTTGCTCATAAACGGCACAAACAGAATTCAGACCTATATCTACCTGACTTCAAAGATATAGCCTTAACCACTGGACCACACGGCCTCCCCTCGATTGTTGCAAAATAGACGGGAGCCAAGCTGGCGGCCCAAAGCACAGTCAGCTCACACAGCAGGAAGGGTGTTTGCAATGCTGCCCCTGGCCTGGCCACTGCTGTCACCATACCATCCCTTGAGAAACTTTTAACTATGCCTGTGTCTTTGTGTCACCTGCTTTATGCTCAGAGTCCTGAGTGGGACCATCCTGTTGGCCAATTCTAAACCCCATTCTCCTGTCCTGGAAGCTGAGAAAAGAAATGTCCACTTCCTGGACAATATGAGGGATTTTGAACCCCTGCACCCCACATACTTTGGGCCTCTCTCAAATAGAAATCGGGTTTGGAGGCTGGGAACCAAAAAGAAAAAGTACATTTGTCTAGTTCAGATTCCTAAGAAACGTCATCCCCATCCCCACCCCTTAACACATGGGAAACATGCTGGGATTGATTTGGGATATCTGTGGTCTTGTAGGGGGAGGTGGAAGCACATGCCACATAGCCTCCATCTGAGATCCCATCTTCCTACTTTCCTTTATGGATGGAGATGTTGGGGCCCAGAGAGGTTAATATACCTGCAGGAG